TGTGCAGGTGTAGGTACACTTGTGCAGGTGTGGGTACACTTTGTACAGGGTGTAGGTACACTGTGCAAGTGGTACACTGTGCAAGTGTAGGTACACAGTGTACAGGGTGTAGGTACACTGTGTACAGGGTTGTGGGTACACAGTGCACAGGGATGTGGGTACACTTTATTACAGGGTGTGGAGTACACAGTGTACAGGGTGTAGGTACACTTTGTACAGGGTGTGGGTACACAGTGTGCAGGGTGTAGGTACACTGTACAGGGTGTAGGTACACTTTGTGCAGATAGGTACACATTGTACAGGTGTAGGTACACACAGTGTACAGGGTGTAGGTACACTGTGTACAGGGTGTAGGTACAGTGTACAGGGTGTAGGTACACTTTGTACAGGGTGTAGGTACACAGTGTACAGGGTGTAGGCACACAGTGTACAGGGTGTAGGTACACTTTGTACAGGGTGTGAGTACACTTTGTACAGGGGTGTGGGTACACTTGTACAGGGTGTGGGTACACTTTGTACAGGGTGTGGGTACACTTTGTACAGGGTGTGGTACTGCAGGGGTAGGTACACAGTGTACAGGGTGTAGGTACACTTTGTACAGGGTGTAGGTACACAGTGTACAGGGTGTGGGTACACAGTGTACAGGGTGTAGGTACACTTTGTACAGGGTGTGGAGTACACTTTAGTACAGGGTGTAGGTACACTTTGTACAGGGTGTAGGTACACTTTGTACAGGGTGTGGGTACACAGTACAGGGTGTAGGTACACACTGCAGGGGTGTAGGTGGACTTTGTACAGGGTGTAGGTACACTTTGTACAGGGTGTAGTACACTTTGTACAGGTGTAGGTACACATGTGTACAGGGTGTAGAACACACTTTAGTGCAGGGTGTGGGTACACAGTGTACAGAGGTGTGGGTACACAGTGTACAGGGTGTGAGATTCACTTTGTGCAGGGTGTAGGTACACTTTGTACAGGGTGTAGGTACACTTTGTACAGGGTGTAGGTAGACTTTGTACAGGGTGTGGGTACACAGTGTACAGGGTGTAGTACACTTTGTACAGGGGTGTAGGTACACTTTGTGTACAGGGTGTGGAGTACACTTTGTACAGGGTGTGGGTAGACTTTGTACAGGGTGTAGGTACACAGTGTACAGGGTGTGGTACACTTTGTACAGGGTTGTGGCACACGTGTACAGGTGTGGGTACACAGTGTACAGGTGTAGGTACACTTTGTACAAGTGTGGGTACTTTGTACAGGGTGTGGGTACACTTTGTACAGGGTGTGGGTACACTTTGTACAGGGTGTGGGTACACAGTGTGTACGGTGTAGGTACACTTTGTACAGAGGTGTAGGTAGACTTTGTACAGGGTGTGGGTACACTTTGTACAGGGTGTGGGTACACTTTGTACAGGGTGTAGGTACACTTTGTACAGGTGTGTGGGTGTAGGTAGACTTTGTACAGGGTGTAGGTACACTTTGTACAGGTGTAGTACACAGTGTACAGGGTGTGGTACACAGTGTACAGTGTGTAGGTACACAGTACAGGGTGTAGGTACACAGGCACAGGGTGTAGGGTACACTTTGTACAGGGTGTAGGTACACTTTGTACAGGGTGTAGGGTAGACTTGTACAGGGTGTAGGTAGACTTGTACAGGGTGTAGGTAGACTTTGTACAGGGTGTAGGTACACAGTGCAGGGTGTGGGTAACACTTTGTACAGGGTGTAGGCACACTTGTACAGGGTGTAGGTACACTTTGTACAGGGTGTAGGTAGACTTTGTACAGGGTGTAGGTAGACTTTGTACAGGGTGGGGTGTACAGTGTACAGGGTGTGGGTACACAGTGCACAGGGTGTAGGTACACAGTGTACAGGGTGTAGGTACACAGTGCACAGGGGTGTAGGTACAGTGTACAGGGTGTAGGTACACATTGCACAGGGTGTAGGTACACAGTGTACAGGGTGTAGGTACACTTTGTACAGGGTGTAGGTACACTTTGTACAGGGTGTAGTACACAGTGCACAGGGTGTAGGTACACTTTGTACAGGGTGTAGGTAGACTTTGTACAGGGTGTGGGGTACACAGTGTACAGGGTGTAGGTACACAGTGTACAGGGTGTAGGGGTACATGTGTGCTGGGGGTGTAGGTACAGGGTGTGTAGGGTACACAGTGTACAGGGTGTAGGTACACTTTGTACAGGTGTAGGTACACAGTGTACAGGGGTGTGGGTACACTTTGTACAGGGTGAAGGTAGACTTTGTACAGGGGTGGTAGACTTGTACAGGTGTAGGTACACAGTGTACAGGTGTAGGCACAGGCACAGGGTGTAGGTACACTTTGTACAGGGTGTAGGGTACAAAGTGCACAGGGTGTAGGTAGACTTTGTACAGGGTGTAGGTACACAGTGTACAGGGGTGTAGGTACACTTTGTGCAGGGTGTAGGTAGACTTTGTACAGGGTGTAGGTACAATTGTACAGGGTGTAGGTACACTTTGCTAGGTGTGGTGGCACACAGTGTACAGGGTGTAGGTACACTTTGTACAGGGTGTAGGTACACTTTGTTAAGGGTGTGGGCACAGTGTACAGGGTGTAGGTACACTTTGTACAGGGTGTGGCACAGTGCAAGGGTGTAGGTACACTTTGTACAGGGTGTAGGTAGACTTTGTACAGGTGTAGGTACACATTGTACAGGGTGTAGGTACACTTTGTACAGGGTGTGGGTACACTTTGTACAGGGTGTAGGTACACTTTGTACAGGGTAGGTAGACTTTGTACAGGGTGTGGGTACACAGTGTACAGGGTACACAGTGTACAGGGTGTAACACAGTGTACAGGGTGTAGGTACACAGTGTCAGAGTGAGTACACAGTGTGCGGGGTGGGACACAGTGTACAGGGGTGTAGTACACAGTGTACAGGGTGTAGGTACACAGTGTACAGGGGTGTAGTACATAGTGTACAGGGTGTAGGTACACAGTGTACAGAGTGTAGTACACAGTGTACAGGGTGTGGGTACATAGTGTACAGGGTGTAGGTACACTTTGCACAGGGTGTGGTAGACTTTGTACAGGGTGTAGGTACACTTTGTACAGGTGGTAGACTTTGTACAGGGTGTAGGCACAGTTGTACAGGGTGTAGTACACTTTGTACAGGGTGTAGGTACACAGTGTACAGGTGTAGGTACACAGTGTACAGGGTGTAGGTACACTTTGTACAGGGTGTAGGTACACTTTGTACAGGGTGTAGGTACACTTTGTACAGGGGTGTGTAGACTTTGTACAGGGTGTAGGTACACAGTGTACAGGGTGTAGGTAGACTTTGTGTGTGTAGGTACACAGTGTACAGGGGTGTAGGTACACTTTGTACAGGGTGTAGGCAGATTTGCAGCAGGGTGTAGGTACACACAGTGTACAGGGGTGGGTACACTTTGTACAGGTGTGTAGGTACACAGTGTACAGGGTGTAGGTACACCAGGGGTGTGAGTACACTTTGTACAGGGTGTAGGTACACAGTGTACAGGGTGTAGGTACACTTTGTACAGGGTGTAGGTACACAGTGCACAGGGTGTAGGTACACTTTGTACAGGGTGTGGTGTGACTTTGTACAGGGTGTAGGTACACAGCATGTAGGGTGTAGGTACACTTTGTACAGGGTGTGTGGCACACTTTGTACAGGGTGTAGGTACACTTTGTACAGGGGTGTGTAGGTAGACTTTGTACAGGGTGTAGTACACAGTGTACAGGGTGTAGGTACACAGTGTACAGGGTGTGTACACAGTGTAAGGGGGTGAACACAGTGTACAGAGTGTAGTACACAGTGTATATGGTACACAGTGTACAGGGTGTAGTACACAGTGTACAGGGTGTAGGTACACAGTGTACAGGGTGTAGGTACATAGTGTACAGGTGTAGGTACACAGTGTACAGAGTGTAGTACACAGTGTACAGGGTAGGTACACAGTGTACAGGGTGTAGCATAGTGTACAGGGTGTTGGTACACAGTGTACAGAGTGTAGTACAACAGGTACAGGGTGTAGTACAGTGTGTAACAGGGTGTGGGTACACAGTGTACAGAGTGTAGTACACAGTGTACAGAGTGTAGTACACAGTGTACAGGGTGTAGGCACACTTTGTACAGGGTGTGACACAGGTACAGGGTGTAACAATAGTGTACAGGGTGTAGGTACACAGTGTACAGAGTGGTACACAGTGTACAGAGTGTAGTACACATTGTACAGGGTGTAGGTACACTTGCACAGGGTGAGGTACACATTGTACAGGGTAGGGTACACTTTGTACAGGTGTAGGGTAGACTTTGTACAGGGTGGTACACAGTGTACAGGGTGTGCATAGTGTGCAGGGTGTAGGTACACAGTACAGAGTGTAGTACACAGTGTACAGGTGTGAAGTAACAGTGTACAGGGTGTGGTACACAGTGTCAGGGTGTAGTACATAGTGTACAGGGTGTAGGTACACAGTGTACAGGGTGTAGTACACAGTGCACAGGTGTAGGTACACAGTGGGGTGGGCACACAGTGCACAGGTGTAGGTACACAGTGCACAGGGTGTGGCACAGTGCACAGGGTGTGGTACACAGTGCACAGGGGTGAGTACAGTGTACAGGGTGTAGTACACAGTGCACAGGGTGTAGGTACACAGTGTACAGGGTGTAGGTACACAGTGCACAGGGTGTAGGTACACAGTGCACAGGGTGTAGGGTACACAGTGTACAGGGTGTAGTGTACACAGTGTACAGGGTGTAGTACACAGTGCACAGGTGTAGGTACATGAGTGTACAGGGTGTAGGTACACAGTACAGGGTGTAGTACATAGTGTACAGGGTGTAGGTACACAGTGTACAGAGTGTAGTACACAGTGTACAGGGTAGGGTACACAGTGTACAGGGTGTAGTACACAGTGCACAGGGTGTAGGTACACAGTGTACAGGGTGTAGGTACACAGCGTACAGGGTGTAGTACACAGTGGTGGACGGGCACTTTACCTGTGTCGTCGAGGTCCATCACGGAACTTGCGGCACTTGCGGCAGATCCTGGAGGATGATCGGCGCGGTCGCTGCGGGGACGGGGTGGCGGCCGTGCCCTCCTGGAAGGTGCACGTCTTGCGGGAGGGCGGCGCTTCGTGGGCGCGCGGCTGGTGGGCGGCCATCAGCCACGCCCACCACACCGACACCATCACCGATAACATGGTTGGTGGTGGTCCGGCGCTGCCCTCACCACCACCACCCGCCCCGGCCACCACCACCACCACACTCCTTCACCACCACCACACTACACATAAAGCCTGGCCTTACCACACACCACACGGCTTCCACACTCTCCAATGAAGCTCCACCACCACCACTACCACCACACTGGGGGTTCTCGCTGCTGCTGCTGCTACACCGCCGTCGGTTACACTGAGGGCCAGGACACATCACGGGGCCACACTGGGCCACCGCTGGGCCACACTATGGGCCTCGTGGTACTTCCACCCGCCATAACAAGACTCACTCACAAACACAAAACACTTACACCTCTCTTATATTATTGATATTTTCACTACACAAACACATAAAACAGTAATAATCTCAAGCACTTTAGTCACTACACTACAGTTTACTTATAAAACACTTAACACGTGAGTTGTACACCTGGGCTGGGTACAAACCTTCACTTCACTTCAGTACATAAATAAAATATCACGTAAATGCAACACTACTCTGGGTCATCGCCCTCGATATAGTGAAGTGATCATCCAACATGGTCGTTAGGTGACTCAGGTGGGGAATTTTTTGGGGGGACACTATCACGAGGTTAATTTATATCAGGTAATATTAACAACACCTGTCGTCAATGCATTAATCACACCTGTCGTCAATTCATTAACCACAACTGTCGTCAACTCATTAAATATACAGTACCGTGTGAGTCAGAATATTTCCATCATCAACTGTAAAACAAAATACTGTAAATATCATCAATATCGCCAAAATCTTTCACGTATGTATAATCATCACCACACATTCTCAGGTTATTGTACTAAACATAGACCATTTCACCTTTAAACACAGGTGAATGAGTGAGTGAAGCGAAAAAACAAACATTACTTTACCAACGTTAAACACAGCGGTGGAGTGTTTTTTTTTTTACATATAATTTTTTTTGGGGGTTCCGTTTTTTCCCTTCAACTGGGGAAAAAATCCTTAGGGAAATTTTTCTGTTTTAAAATAATATTAAACGACATGCTTGACCTTACGAATTTTTTTTTTTAACTTCAATGATATAAAAATAAAATAAACATCACATTACGAATCTCAAAATAAACATAAATAAAACAAACATTTTTTTTTAAGAGTTTCCAAACATACACACACACAAACGCTGTCTTATCGAACCTTAAAGCCAGGCTGTAGGGGTCTTAAGAGTACAGTCATAGAGTACAGTCACACCACCACCCTCACTACCACAACCACTACCACAACCACCAACACTCACTACCACAACCACCAACACTCACTACCACAACCACCAACACTCACTACCACAACCACCAACACTCACTACCACAACCACCAACACTCACTACTACAACCACCAACACTCACTACCACAACCACCAACACTCACTACAACCACCAACACTCACTACCACAATCACCAACACTCACTACCACAACCACCAACACTCACTACAATCACCAACACTCACTACCACAACCACCAACACTCACTACCACAACCACCAACACTCACTACCACAACCACAACACCACAATCACCAACACTCACTACCACAACCACCAACACTCACTACCACAACAACCAACACTCACTACCACAACCACCAACACTCACTACCACAACCACCAACACTCACTACAATCACCCACACTCACAACACAACACTCCTACCACAATCACCAACACTCACTACCACAACAACCAAAACCACACACACACACACACACACACACACACACACACACACACACACACACACACACACACACACACATAACATCTGATCTTGTTGGTATAAAATTGGATCTTCTTATTTCCTGCTCTTTCAATGACGTAACAGCTCGACTGCCACTCTTCCTCTTAACTGAGAAGAGAGAGAGAGAGAGAGAGAGAGAGAGAGGCTGTCTGGCCACGCACACCATACAAACAAACAGATATGAAAGCTTACACCTCCTTCACCTAGTCCCCTTTTTCTTCACCCTTACCCTTCCTTCCTTACCTTCCCTTCTCCCCTTTCTTCACCCTCATCTTCCCTTCCCCCTCATTCTCCCTCCCCCCCCCCTCCTCCCTATACAGTATAATAAGAATTATTGCTTCTCACGGTTGCCAGAAGGAGAGAAGCGGGTGGGGAGGAGGTGTTGGGGAGGAGGTGTTGGGGAGGAGGTGTTGGGGAGGAGGTGTTGGGGAGGAGGTGGGTGAGGAGGAGGTGGATGGGGAGGAGGTTGAATGGGGAGGAGGTTTAATAGGAGGTTAGGATGAGTGAAAAGTGGGGTTAAAAAAATATGGGGAGGGAGGCAAGAGAGAGAGAGAGAGAGAGAGAGAGAGAGAGAGAGAATGGAGGATGGGAGGTCGTAGGATGGGGGAAAAGTAGTAAGATGAGGAATGGGGAAATAGGAAACAATAACACAAACAAACAATTACATCTAGTCATGCTGGCGGTCCCACTAGACTAGAGGAGAGGGTGATTATACCTAACAGGCTGTAGGACCTAATCACCTCGAGTCAGGCGAGAGACACACACACACACACACACACACACACACACACACACACACACACACACACACACACACACACACACACACACATATCTTGGTTTATGATGCTCTCCTCCACACCCGTGTATGTGTAGGCGAGGAGGGTGTCTGTCTGTCTGTCTGTCTGTCTGTCTTCTGTCAGAACACACCCCCGTCGTCTGTCTGTCTGTCTGTCTGTCTGTCTGTCTAGGATAATGTGTGTCTATGGGGAAGGGATGCTGGTACACTGTGTCTGTCTGTCTGTCTATCTGTCTGTCTGTCTGTCTGTGTCTGTCTGTGTGTCTGTCTATCTGTCTATCAATCTATCTACTCATTAATGTAGCTTAATAACTATTTATCTTCCTATATAGTCATCTTTATATCTTCCTTCTTATCCACCTGTCTACTTATTCATCTATCCATCTACCTAATTATCTACCCATCCATCTATCGATTTATACATTAATACCCCATTTATCTAATTACCAATCTTAAGTTAGAATAACTTAGGATACGTTAGGTTAGGTTAGGTTAGGCTAGGTTAGGTCAGGTCAGGTCAGGTTAGGTCAGGTCAGGTCAGGTCAGGTCAGGTTAGGTTAGGTTAGGTTAGGTTAGATAACAATAAGTAAAATAACACAGATTCACATAACAGCTTTCAGAGCCACCTGGCGGCAAAAGAGCGTAACCAGTCATAGAGGAGTGAGTGGGACGAGTGGGCGAGAGACGTGAGGTGGGAATGTGAGTGGGGTGTGTGGAAAATGAGTGTGGGGGGGATAAGGAGGTATGGATGGGGTGTGGAAAGGGGTGGAGGGTGTTGGGGTTGTATAGAGAGTGAGTAGGTGTTGGGGTGAGGAATGGGGTGTGGGGGTGGGGAATGGAGTGTAACTGGGGGGTGTGGGGGAATGAGTGGGGGTGGGGAAATGGGATGTGTATGGGGTGTGTATGGAGGGGGGTGTCTTCTCTCACTAGTGCCTTATAGAGGAGAGTGGAAAATTCCTTCTCATCCGGTAAGAATCGTGTTCAATCCCGTAAAGGAAGTGTGTCCATAATCCCTCCAACTGAGATCCTGGGCCAGCCAACTCTTGATCCTCATCAAATCTTTAGCTTTTGGGAGGTGGTGGAGTTCCTGGTGGGGGAGGGGGTGGTGGTGGAGTTCCTCGTGTGGGGGGTGAATCCTTCCCTAATCAGTGTGAAGGAGTTCTAATCCTTTTGGGTGGAGGGTTCATGTTTTGACCAATCTCTACATCCGGGAATCTTCTAATCAAATTTTCAGTGTTTAAGACAAGTTGTGATGTAGGGATTGGTATAAACGAATTATTATGAATTACAATGTGAAGGTATTCGAATCTTTTTGAGGGAAGGGTTCTTGTTTTTTACCAATCCTTCCTTCCTTCTTTCTTTTCTTTCCCGCTCCCTTCCTTCCTTCTTTTCTTCCTCCCTTCCTTCTTTTCTTCCTCCCTCTCTTCTTTTCTTCCTCCCTTCCTTCTTTTCTTCCTCCCTAATACAACAAGAAAACAACGAATCGCCAAAGAAGACAGGAAGGCGCCCTTAACTACGCCAGCCAGCGTGACGAAGGAGAAGAGAGGGGAGGAGGAGGAAGAAGGGGAGGAGGGAGGAGAGGGGGAGGAGGAGGGAGGAGGAGGAGGAGAGGGGGAGGAGGAGGAGGAAGAGAGGGGAGGAGGAGGAGGAAGAGAGGGAGGAGGAGGAGGAGAGGGGAGGAGGAAGAGAAGGGGAGGAGGAGGAGGAGGAACCATGATCGTCGACCAAGGTAACTGGCGATGCTTGTTATGGTTCCCTCTCTCACGAACACGGACGGCCACGTACAGGCCCAACCATGTATACATTCACGAACGACTACGTACATAACATTGGCTGCGACTAGGTACACAACCGAGACGTATACATCCATGGACGTCCACGTACAGACTTACCACGTACACAACCACGGACACCCACGTACGGACCCACAACGTATACCATCACGGACGCCCACGTACGGACTTACCACGTACACAACCACGGACGCCAACGTACAGACCCACAACGTACACCACCACGGACGCCAACGTACAGACCATCACGAACAACCACGTACAGACTTACCACGTACAAACGCTCCAGTGACCTCATAATATCCTTACACACCGCCTGACCACCACCAACGTCATGTATGTATGTATGTATGTATGTATGTATGTATGTATGTATGCATGTATGTATGTATGTATGTACTGTATGTATGTATGTATGTATGTATGTATGTCTCCCACCAGCTCCTGTGTATCGATGAGGAGGATGTTCAGTATTTCCTGGTCACAATGAGAGTATCGACGACCTTCCCACACACTGACATGTCTTTCTCGCCTCGATCATCACATGTTAAAAGGTTGTCCACACACACACACACACACACACACACAATGTTTACCTGCTCTTAAAGGAAATATATTGATGTATGTATTCTTTTGAGCTATACTTATCTCTATGTATATTTTTTGGTATGTATATCTATAAAGTATATCCGTTTATGTATATATATGTATATATTTTTTAAATTAACTATAGTTTATTTATTTTAGTACATAATTGTATACACATATCTATATTTCTTGTAAATTAACTGTCAAGTATCTATCTTTCTATCTATCCAACTACCTATCTATCTATTAATGTTTGGTAAGAGGTTATCATCATCATCATCATCATCATCATCATCATCATCATCATCATCATTTTCATCATCATATTTATTATTATCAGTACTATTATTACCATTATTACTATTATTATCCTTATTATTCTTATTACTTTCTACTAACTAACAAACAAACAAACAAACTAACCTAACCTAACCTAACCTAACCTAACCAAACAAACTAACCTAACCTAAACTAACCAACTAAAAATATTAACAAGATAACTTCACAGATAACTACAGTCAGTATAACCTTCAACAGTTAGTGGACATAGTTAAGGTGTAATTAACTCACCATCAGAGGTTAATATCACTCAGGAGATTATGTGTAAAGTCTGGTAGTTAGGTTAAATAAGACCGAGTGTGTGGGTTAATGGTCGTTTGAGATGTGTGGGTGTGTGGGGTGTGGGTTTGTGGGGATGGTATGGTTAAGGGTGGGAGAGTGTGGGTTTGTGTGGGTATATGGGGAGCTGGCAGGTAAAGCAAGGTGTGCAGAAT